GTTGTCGGTCGATGATGGATATATTGCTACTTGCGAGTACTTTCAAATACCATACACTGTACCAGTGTTGATTTGGAGGAGACGTATCATGGAGCGGACGTCGTAGAGTGAATCATCCTACGTGATGTGCCCGGCCGCAAGGGTGCTTTGCTGGCCGTGAAATGCGATATATATTTTGGCGTATGAAAGGCATGTCGTCCCACACGCCGCTGCAAGTCGGTTTTTCAATTCGCGGCCGCTAGAAATGTCGACCTTGCATCGCCAGCCCTACTCTACCCTTGGTCTCCAAATAGCTAGCTACCTGTCGAGAGGTATTTTTACAAGCCCGCGTCGGCCAACCATCTATATTCTTTGCAGACGATGGCGCCACCTCGCTCGAGCGGACCGTGTCTTGTTCATTTTTGAATTTGCCAACAACCATGGTCAAGCTCTTCGCATCGGCTCTCTACACCGCAACCATCCTTCTTACGGCGGTGCACGCTTGCGTCTGGGAGTCGTCCGGGGACGTCGTCGGCAACCTGACGCTCTCTTGTGCTGACGTGGCCACGGGTGCTCGCTTGGAGCCGACAAGCAGGACCGCGCCCATGGTGTCGGTCGACGCGCGCGATGCGCTTCAAGTGTATGTACGGGCGGACGCGACCCAAGACATTCTCAACGCCGATGCCAGTGACTGGACCACCGCGTACAATGCGAGTGTTGTCGCACCCGCGTCCGGTGGCTACTCGGTCGTCTTGGTCTGCGGCAAGCCTGACGGTGGCGCGTGCCACGTCTCGTACGGACTGCAATGGGCGTCGCCGGTGCCAGTCCGCCGCGCGTTGGCTACAGAAACGGGTTGTTACTTCTCGGGCAGCTACACGACGGGGTTCACGGACCCCAATCTTGTCTTTACGTGCAACAACGTTCAGCCGGGCATTCTGGTGTCAACAGTCAGCTCCAGCTCGGACAAGTTCAGCACTGCCTTCTTTGACGCGTCCAACTATGCGCGCTACAAGAGCGGCGGCAGCGGCACGTGCCTCAACACCGGCTGCGCTACCATCTATAGCGGTGAATCGACGACTTCGGCGGTCGTGGTCACCAGCTCGGGGTCCTACACTCTCGTGATCCGCTGCCAAAACTCGATGTATCGTTGCAACGTCAACGCGGACATCTACTTTCATACGAAAGCGCCCACCGTCTTTATGGGATGCAGCTTCTCAGGCAACTTTGCTACAGAAACTGCGTACCTTTTCGTCTGCGACAGCGTGCAGCCAGGGGTGTTTACGCCCACGGTCTCGTCTACGTCCGACAGCTTTAGCGTAAAAATCTTTGACGGAGCTAACTACGCGCGGTACATCAGCGATGAAGACGGCTATTGTACCAATACCGACTGCCTGGACGTCTACAACGCGCAGTCGTACACCAAGAGCTTCAACATTGGTCGCTCTGGGACATACGCCGTCGTCGTTCAATGCCACTCCGATGGGGAGTGCAATTTTAGCGGCACCATCAACTTCAATACCGGCGCAGCGTTGACGCCCACGCCAGGCGCCACGACACCCAGTGGCGCGAGCTCGACGTGTCCCGTCCCTGGCACGTACCTGAGCACGGACATGCGTCTGGAGCTCTCGAGCTCCGGGACCTTTGCCCAGACCAACGACGGCGGCAACGGCATCACGTGCTCGACGACGGGGACGTACGAGGTCTCGGGCCAAACGGCGTCCTTCACCGTGTCGACTGTTTCGGCCGGTTGCCGAAGCCTCTTTACAATCAACCAAAAGTACTCGGGGCCCTTCTCGTTCTCTAGCAGCTGCCAGCAACTCACACTCGGCTACGCCACCACGACGCGGACGCTGCAGCGTGTGTCCAGCGCGCCCATGGCCAGTGTGACCATGCTGCTTGGTGTACTCCTCGCGTGGTGCGCGCTCTAGTCGCACTCGAGTCGAACGACCGCCAGCGGTTATTTACATATGAATGCATTTGGACTAGTATATGCACATCAATACAACACCATTCCATACGATTTCACTAGACTCACTTCATCAACAACACCAATCCATACAGTGTGAATACGCGCATGGCTTCGTATAGGCGTGTCCGTGGTGTTCCCTTTACTTGGTGTACATTGATGTATGATCGCAGTGGTTGAAGGGCATGGACATTTCCTGTCGCCATCTACACAAACTCGGTCACAAACTATTAGCGATATCACAACCGTGCGAGCCCCAGCATGGTCCCTGCGATTAGGATAGCTTACACCAAAGTCGTCTCACGAGGTGACAACCTGCGCGGCTTCTTTCGTATTGCAACCACGCCGGGTTGCGCGATGGCAGAAATGGTGAAAGAGTGCAACCTAAAGAATGTATATTCATTTGGCCGTTCAATTTGGACGTCTCTTGGAAACAACTCGAGGTGCGAATGTCACGGTGCGTTATCCGTATCCCAATTCGCGGCCGACGTACCACTCTAGTCCATCGACCATTGCCGTCGAGGCCGCACTTGCACCACAGCTTCGTTCAAGAGCCCGGGCAGCCTGCTCTTTGTCAACTTCACGGGCTCATCGCTTGTGCCGTTGTTGACGCCTCGTGAAGCGAGCGACCGCAGTGCATTGATCGACAATTTTGTACAGTGTACGTAGTTCAAAAAGTTGTTTGTTCGATCGAACCGACCTGTCTTGTTTCTCGCTCAAGCGTACGACGACTACAACGGCCGTGCGGCGCCAACGACCCAATGCGAACGGCGCAGCGGATGCAGCCGCCTTGAACGGAATCCCTCGACCATCATCGACGCATTGATGCGTGGCATAGCTTTCTTGTGCGTGGATTGCCCGGAACGATCGATCCGAGTTGGACCTAGGCGACGCCAACGACCGTGCGGCGCCAACGACCCAATGCGAACGGCGCAGCGGAGCCAGCTCGCGCTCGATCCAGGCGAGGATGTCGGCGTCGGTGATCGCTGCCTCGGCCATGCACAGCTTGTAGTGCGCGAGGAACCGCAATGCCGGCGGCTCGATCGTCGCTAGGATCGACTGCCACATGCCTTGGCTTCGCGGAAGGCCGCCAAGGTGGCGAGCGTCGTGTCGGCCAAGACCGGCGCAGCGAGTATGCGGAAACATGATAGTGTGAGTTCTCGTGGGACCGACCGCGATGTTTCACGTGCAAATCCAGTGTATTTTCAGTCTTAGGTATGCAAATCGACTGTGCAAGAGCCATCCCATCGGCCGTTTAGAGCGCACCCGACGCGAGGAAAACGCCAAGAAGCAGCATCGCACTCGTGGCCGCGGTCTCTGCGCTAGACGTTCGCTGCAGCGTCGACGTCGTGCCCGTGTAGCTGAGTGTGAGTTGGTTGCAGTCGGTGGAGAACGAAATGGGCACCGAGAGCTTTGCGTTGGGCGTAAAGACGCTGCCGCAGACACCCAAGACGGTCGACACGGTGAACGTTGCCATTGGACCCGAGATCGCATACGTTCCCGTCGTCGAGCACGTGCTGCCGCTGCCATCGTGCGACTCGGTGAACGCACCAGAGTTGGCAAGGTCCATGCGCATCCCCGTCGCACGGTACGAGCCGGGAAGCGGACACGTCAGAGCTGGCGCGGGCGTCGGAGCGGACGTCGGAGTGCGTGTCGGAGCGGGCGTCGGAGCGGGCGTCGGCGCTGGCTTCAGGTTGGGGCAGATGCTGTAGAGAGGACTTGGGTCGGACATCATCCTGCCGTAAGAGCTGCAGGATGAAAGCGTCTTTTTGATCGACAAGTAGTTTGCTGGGCAGGTCGACGCGCAAAAGCCCGACGGCACGTCTTCGGGTGTCTTAGCGTAAGAGATGTTGGACGCGAGGTCACTGAACGTCGCAAGATACGAAGCGTTGAGAAAGGTCGAGCAGTTGGACCAAAGACTCGCGCCATATGCATTGCGCTCGGCCACCATATCCACCATAGAGCAATTGGCCCCGACTGCCGCATGTGTGCATCCAACCAGAGATCGGAATTCGACCATCGTGTTACCATCGCGCTGGTTGAAGCAGTTGGGCATCAACTTGGCCATCGCGTCGATAAAGTTCGTGCACGCGACGGACGCACACAGCGCCTTGGCGTCTTCGGTGGTGTATGGTTGAAGTCTGGACAGCGTCGCGTCTTTGACACTGGAGCAGCTGAGCCACACCGGTGTACGGCGCAAGACTGCATCGGCCAAGATCAAATCCGCTGACGTGCATGCGTCGCCGTTGCTCGTGGGGCGCGTCATGTCGTCGCACAGTTGGTTTTGTTGGACGACCTTGGAATATGTGCCGGCCTCATCGGCGCAGAATGGGAGGTTGTCGGTGATGTTCTGCAGGTCGCCCTGGCATGGCGACTGGCACAGGTTGTATTGTCCGTCCTCGAGTCCTTCCGCGAACGTCATTGAGCTCCACCACATGCTACTCGCCGCGCACGAGGTCGAGACGTTGGCCGCCAAGAAATTCTTGATCTTCGTCTCTTGGTCCGTCGTGCAGGTAGCAGCGGTCGCGGACGTTGCCAGCATGAGCGCCACCGTCGCAGCGCATACGAGTTTCATGGTGTTCGAGGCAAGGCAAATTAGACACTGGATGCTCTCCTTGCAGAGTAGTTTTCGGTGGGCGGTTCACGTGCCCATATTCTTAGCATTTCGTGGGAAGGAACACGGGGTTAGGGCAAATATATCTTCAACTTCTACAAGAATAGCATCCGACAGTCACGCATGCATATCCAATCCGAAACCTAAAACCCTTCGCAAAGCAAAATGGCGCGCAACGCAAAAGTCGGGTACTGCCTATTTCCGACGTTTGGCGCCAAAACGCGAGCGCCAAGTGCGAAGTCTCTTCGACCTCGTGGAATCCTGCGCCGTTGCCGCAACGTGCCTCGACGCAGCGCCCACCTGTGCGCACCGACGATGACGCAGCGTGGCGATCGCCCGACGAGTCTTCCCTGTAACCGCACAAGCGATGAAGGAAACGCGACGGTGCTGCGTTCGCCAGATTTTGTCGGACACCATATCTGCGACAACGACGTCACGAGTCGTCGGCGACGAGATCGTCATCGCGTCTGACTTCTATGTTTTTGGGCGCCTCGGTATGGGCTTACTTGGATTACGACTTTGGGTGGGATGGTTTGATCTACGTAGATACTGCACCAGATGTACTGGGATCACCACATCGCCACGCGACACGAGACCATTCATCCCAGCGGCGTTTGATCGCAGACGCTGGAGAAGGCGGGTGCAGAAAGACCACGGATGGAAGTGCATGGCTGCCTACGAAAACCGTTGCGATACTTCAATATGTGTACAGCAAACGACAATGGTATGCATTGTCACCATCGTCCATATCGGTCAGCGTTTCAATAGCAAATCACCAACCTGCGCGTCCGTGATCCTGCGGTCCCCGCGTCGTTTTCCGCGGCACCTAACCGTTCTTTCTCAGTGACTGCACTACAGAATTCATTAGGATACAAGAACTGTACCTTGCACAAGGTCGCACGGACCGCGACGGCAAGCAGACCAAGGTAGATGGACCCAAGCGATGTCGTGAGGGTCCGAGTGAGCGCGCACTACCAGTCGATGACGCTGCCGGCGACGACCGTGCGTGGCCTGCCAGGCAGCATGAGGACATGTAGCCATGATGCAACGACAAATTGAGAGCGACCTCGAGTCAGTCGTAATCAATGTTGACCAAGACACCGAGGAGCGCAATGGTTCTAGTACCAAGTTGATCCGTCTACCGGCATACGATATGGCGGGTGGTGAACATACCAGAGCAGATTCCAGCCGAGCTGTACATACTGCAACCACAGCGTGACGGGATTTTAGTCTGACAGACTTCACGTCGCCGCGGCGGCGACCGTCAAGTTGGCAGCAGCACGACGTGACGATGACTGCCGCACTTGTACATGTACAAGCTACATTTAAAGCACGCTCACAACGACATCTAAACGAGGGGTCGTACCAGAGATGGAACAGAGCCGGAATGACACCGAACGCTGCAACAAATGCCACGTTGATCGCGTCCCTTCCAGCCACACTGCCGCCACGAACGCTACTGAGACTGGCCGTTCGTACTGCTCTTTCTCGAAAACCCCATCTTCGGCAGCCACGTGGCGCGGCGATGTTCTCCGAGGTACCGTACATCTGTTCGAGAGCTCGTGACGTATGCCAACGACGCGCTCCGGTTGCTCGCTCTCGGGCCTCGCGATCGGAATTGCAGCCTTTATGCTGCTGCTCGTGCTTTTCTTCCCGACCACCATCAGCGTCTGCACCTTGCAGTACACATCTCCATGTACATATTGCCTTGTCTGACGTGGTGGCGTAGCTTCAACTTGGCCGTCCTTGTCGGCATCGCTGTCGTCGGTCTGCTGTGCTTGGTCCGCGGACGATGCTTCGGGTTCTGTGTGCATGTGGGTGCATGCTGGAACTGTTGTAAGTATCGCGAACTGCTGGTCTAGAATCGCCGCCGTTGCGTCGGTTTTCCGTGGTGCCATCGGGCAATAATAGATGCCACCCCGACCCCTATTAAGCTGTTCGCGCCATTTCTCGTTTGCTTCTCCTGCAGTTTTGTAGCGGTTTATATTGGAATGGCCCCCAACGATATTTGTATGGGGTGCCAGACGCGAGGGTTCACAGTCATCCTCAACGACAATCCCATTGCGTGGGCACTCGAGTTCACTTCCGATATGTCGAATCCACTCGGTACATGGATGCTTGATTCCGGCTCGTTTTTCTTCTGCGCGTCAAGACATTTGACGCACTCACGAGACTATCAAACACGCTCAAGTTTACACATACATCTTATCGGTCAAGGAACAGTGGCTGTTTAGAACCATGCGTTTAAACGTCAAGACCACAACATGATATGATATGGAATGCAATCTTTATACAGACTCCACAGATCACAACATGCGCAAAGTCGCCGCAAGCGCGACAAGCTCTAGCACGCAGAGCACGAGCGCGGGTGTGATCCACTTGGGCTTGCCCCAGCGCAGTGGTTGTTCAACCAACTCGTACGTGATAATGCTCAAGGCGACTGAGACCTGAAGCATGCACCACGGCTCCATGGTGAACGGACGGCTCAACGTTGGCGGGTATTGACGGTTGGAAATGATAAGGAGCGGCCAGTACCAGAGGTAGACGCCATAGCTGATCTTGCCAATGGACACAAGCACGTCGTTGCTCAGAACGTAGTGGTTGAACGGCGCTTGGGGCCCCGCGGCAATGAGCAAGGTCGCGCCGACGGTCGGAAGAAGCGCCCAAACGCCGGGTAAGGCACTTTGAGCGTCAATGAATGAAAACCCGGTGACGACGAGGCACAGCCCGGCTGCGGACATCCGTCCACCAAAACGGGATGAATCCGTCAGCGGCGGCAAAGACGCTGTGGCCTGTGCAGTCATCACGTACGAGAGGAGGCCGCCCATGGACAGTTGCCAGAAACGACCCAGCGGCAAGTAGAGCACCGTCTTGTTGTCGTGGTTTCCGACGGACGCAATGACGTTGATGACAAAGCTGAGCGCAAAAAATGCGATCTGGAGCTGAACAGCGCGCTTGTACGGCTGCTTCATGACGAAGACGTAAAAGAATGGCCAGAAAATGTAATAGAGGCCCCCGACACCAAGCGACCAGAGATGCAGCACCGGGTTGCTGCCGTACTTGAAGTACGCCCTCTCAAGCGAGAGCACTTGCACGTTGGTGGTCAACAATGTCGCGGCCGTGTGCTTGAGCAAGGCACCCTTCAGAAAGATTGATCCAAGGCATAGCGTCGTCAAGAGAACAATGATGAGCGTCGGCGCGATGCGGCGGACGCGGCGCTCGTAGAAGCTCGCGTACGTAAAGTTGCACTCCTCGTGCTGCTTGATGAGAACGTTCGAGACGAGGAAGCCAGAGATGACAAAGAAGATGTCGATGCCAATGAAGCCACCGGGAAGGAGCGACGGGTACGCTTGGAAGACGAGGACGGACACGATCGCGAGCGCGCGGAGACCGTCAATGTCGGGCCGGTACCCACATGGCGGCGATAGTTGTTGGTCACACGCTTCGTCGGGTTGGACTTGGTTTGAGAGAGAACCTCTCGGCAGAAAAGGGTCGGTCTCCATGGTGCTCCAATTCGAAAGTACTGTTTTCACATATCCGAAACCCTTTGCAAGTTCACCACTGCGAAACTGCAAAACCTTTTACAATACATTAATTTTCTATCCTGTGTTGCATGAGACGATGAGCCAAACAGAAGCCATCACTCTTGGCGCGTCGCTGGTCGCTCTACGCGAA